TGAAGATCCAAAGAGCGCCACTCCCTCGTCAGCTCTTGTGCAAGTCACAACAGCTCGTCCGCCGGCGGGAGATTCGACCTTAAGGTGACCAGCTGCACAGGTTGCCCGAAGTGTCGTAGTGTGGAGCCGTCTTCCAGGCCACTGCCGATGACGCCCAACCAAGGACTCTTTCCCGCTCGTTCCTTGTGGCTCTTTTCTGGGAAAAGCATTCATACACACCTCCACAGGTACGGGAGAACGCCCTGCCTGCACTGAGACATATCGCGTCCTAAAAATTCTCTAAAGCACCCTTCCGTAAGAAGTATCACTAATCACAAAGCAGCAATCGGAAGGTTTTTCTGAACTTTCGCCAAATCTCCCAATCCTCATTCAAGAATTATCTTCCCATTAGACTGCCTTCAAGAAAATGAACTGCCAAGTGATGCGTTCCCCGTGACATACTCGTGTGCTAGCGTGAGCAATCCGCTGTAATTTACCATGCCCCATACTCATAAAATAAAGCGTTTTGTTTCACGCTATCTTTTAGTTCCCAAAACTTTGTGCTCCCAAAGCTAGTCGTAAGTTCCCTCAGAGCCGAAGAAGGGACAACTGTCATGCTGCAACTGCATCAGGAACATCCACATCTGCAAATGCGCGTCACAGTGCTCCTGCCTGGGTGAACTACCACTTGACTTTCCTTTGCAGTTACCACTCTCACAAAGCATACACATTAACTCATGACCTAGTTTGTTTCCACACCGGACACATGCGAACAAAACATTGAATAAACAAAAAGAAGTTTTGGCATGGTGCCGGAAAAACTCGCTAGAGATATGTTTGCGTCCCTACGCTCAGTTGTACTTAGTTCATAACATCGCTCTTGCTCAGTTACACGCATCTACCAGGACGCAGGCTCCTATGTGTGTTGTTTATGCAATCGCACAACGCTTACCTTATAAAAACGTACAACGCTCAACAAATAGACAAAACCAAGAACGGGTTACCTAAACATTATCTAGTAGCCGGTATACTTAAAGAATACATTCCAAAACTCCAAACAAACTTAAACCGTGGAAAGCAACCTTCAAAACAAAACAAATCCACCGGTGAACAACGTCAAAAGCCTATGGCTGTCTACTCGCTTTCCAGACGGACGCCTGGTGTCATGTCCTGTGGGTTTTTCTTGACGAACGGGAAATTTAACAATGGCAAAACCCATTCGCTTCGCCTCGGACCCCCGCAAAGCTCTTCTCTGGCAACCAGAGGTCTTATTCTCACTCAGTTACTATTAGCGAGCCATGGACCTCGCATTCCCGTGTCCCATAAAACATGATGTCAATAGAGCGACAAAGGGCTGACCGTCCCCTTCCTTACGTTATACACAACACATATTGGCTACCAAAACAATAGAGCGCTAAAGAAAACAAAGTTCTAACTAGTTACGTACAAAATCACTAAAGTAAACAAACAAAATATTTCTTTCAACAGTCCAGAGTCAATATTTTTGAGAAGCTAACAGCTGTTCTCAACAACTTTTAGTCGAACTCCTGGTCGTCGCGCCCGGAAGGCTTTTCTCGTCAAGCGGAGTGTACAACACGCCTAAAGGTAAATTTCTTTGTTTTAGCGAACCCCACGACGTTCCTCGAAACAGACTTGCTGCGGTTCCTTCCAACCACTTCGCGAAAACCACCGACCTCTGTGTTGCGCACTCTGTCCCATGCGCCGCGAAAGCAACAGAAGGGTCCCCTGTTCTCCGCCCGCTTACGCGCACAATGCGTTTCTCTTTTCTTTGCTTTTCAGCTGTTCGGACGCTTGCGATACGGCAACTTTCTCGAAATTTCACTCCGCCATTTGAATACATATTCAAATGCGTAGCGATTTTCGCCTGCCTGTTTTTAGGATGCTTTCTTCGTTTTTCGCGCTTCTTGGTGCCATCTACGGAGCCTTTCGCCCACCTCTGATGCTCATCAGCTCCACATGCTTGTTAGATCTTTCCTGCGCACTGTCCTGATGATTGTTTAGCAGTTTATCATGCGAACACTGCCGTGTACAATGCGCTTTTTTTTTCGGCAGCTCGGACGCATACGATACAGGCCCGTCAGAGATGACAACGGCCCTTTTCTCGGAATTTCACTCCGCCGTTTGAAGCCCTTACTTAAAGGCGTTGTTCTCATCGCGAGCATTGCCTTGCTGTTGCCCTTCGGATGCTTTCTCCTTTGTACATGCTTCTTTGTGCGTGCTTAGGAGCCTTTCGTCCCACTCTGACGTTCTTCATAATCGATATGCTCCTCCACTGTCTCGCGCGCACAGTCTTGATGGTTGCTTACCAGTTCATCATGAGACCACGGCCGCGTAGATAGCGCTTTTTTTTCCTTAGTCTCCGGCCGCTCAGACGCATGTGATTCAAGCCAGTCAGAGAAGACAAGGGGCCTTTTCTCGCGAATCCGCCACGCCGTTTAAAGGTCCTTATCATACGCACCGCGCTGATAGCGAGCTTTGCCGCGTTTCGGTTTTTCGGACGCTTTCTCCGTTTGGCACACTTTTTGGTGCCAACTTTGGAGCCTTTCGCCCGCCTCTGACACCCATCAATATCATCTATAGGGCTGCAAGGTTCAATTCTCGCGGAACACTCTCTTAATCTTAACTCTATTTCCATAATCACGGAACACTCACAACCTGCTTCGACCGCGAGCACTTTTTCTTCGGAACGGGTTCGAATCTCAACCATGTCCTTATGGGCACTAGTCTTCTCTTCGGCCTCAAATAGCCCCGCCGCTACATTGCGCCGTTCGTGAACTACATCTGCAAATGTCCGTCCGGCCTGTAGCCTTCTCTTCGGCCTTAAATGGCAACGCCGCTACATCGCACCCTTCGTGCGCTACATCTGCAGATGTCTGGCCTCTTTTATGTAATGCCCCCACTTCACGATACATCCTTTCTATCTCCTCATCTAATTCCTGAATCTTTTTCCTATGTTCTTCATTCGAGCGCTCGATTTCCTTGTTTTCCCGCTTGCGCTTCTCTTCATCTTCCTGATCCATTAAATACATATTGCCGAAGTGCTCGATTTCATTCTTGCTACTCTTGCTTTCGAAAATCACTTCACGGAGCTAAGATTTAAGCATATCATCGTTAAAATTTTGGTCAAGATCGTAACACAGGTTCAGCAGGTTCCCTCTCGTCAATCATCTGAGGTCCATGACCACCACGTTTTTTAGCTCAGCTGTGAAAAAACACAAACCCACCAGCGTTTAAATTCTGGGTCTCGAGAAATTGAAGTTTGGCAAATCAAATCCCACAGCGGAGACCAAAAGCTTAAGCACACAAATAGCACTACATGGCCTACCTCCCTTTCTAACCTATTTGCTGTTTCTTTTTCACTTTTCTGCTTTTTCCAACATCCCAATTGCTCCCGCGACGTACCCTTACAAGTTCCGCAAAATTTAGCAGTTGTTCCTATTGACTTACCTAAGCTTCTTTTGCTCAAATACTTGCTCAAATAAACATCCCGTGCTGCTCCGTGCTGAGATAACAATCACAGTAGCCAGGAATTTGTTGGTTATATCTATCTTTTAACGCGTCTAGGCTAAAAGACTCCATACATCTCAAGCACAAAGCCTGGAATTCACCCAATTAGGTGCGTTCGTGGTACGCTGTGCCAATCCGTCTAAATTCCAGGGCTTTCGGATGTCCTCCAGTCTATGTCATCCACAGTCGCTGAGTCGTATCCCAACGCCCCCCCTCCCCTCCCCTCTATACAGATGGTGTGAACCTCCCTCCCCGCGAAAGATATTTCTGGCTACGCCCCTATCGTAAATAGACTCTCTCCTTATCGGGACTGCCTTAAGAAAACATCCCGGTGTGCTACCTTGGACGCCATGCGACACCAGGCGAGCTTTAGCTAGTAGCCACCACGCAGTGACTCCGCTAGATCTCGCGGTCAATAGTCGGCGGTTCCCCTGATTTGACCATCTGGTGTTTTTAAGGTGCACTCATGGCAGACAGGCATCTAGCGTTTCGCTTCATTTTAAATGTGATTGCCACTGTCCGGATCAAAACTCTGCTTTTTGGGTCAACCGCGCATTCTTCATCACCAACAAGGCAATGGTTGATAATGACGAAATAAAGGTGAGGCTCACTTGTTTTCTAACGACTTGGCAGCTTCCAACCACCCATTCTTTACGTAAATATTGTGACTTCTAGTAACATTTTACCCTTCTGGCATAAAAAATGAGTGCGTTAACCAGATTGCTGACCTCTGGCCTTACATGACGACTGTACCAAAACTTTTTGCAACGCAGTTTCTAATACCTAATAGAAACTGCTGGCGTTTAACGTCTCAAAATCAACATTTATGAGACACGCTGTAGTAGAGGGCTCAGAAATATCGACCACATGGGGTTCGTTGGCGTGGATCGAATTTTACGTACAGATTTACTCAAAGATTTTTGCGTCAGTCTAAAGTGTGGCTCCCACAACTAGGATTCCATGGTGCTCACGCCTAGATCACCAGGTTGAGTTTCGCGACTCTGTTTCACCACTGACTCGACAGTTTGTTAGATCACTTTATTTCCATGAAAATGCCCGCATTCAATTACAGCTGTATTCGCAATTTTTTCCCATGCACGCAACGGGATTTCCTGCTTTCGAAAAAGGTGGCACTGACACCGATACTGCGTTTCCTGCGACATGGGCTGTTGAATGTGCGCGTTAGAGCCCGAGAGTGAGCTACAGGCTGCCAACGTATCACCGTAATGAACCGATATTTTTATTAGTTTGGTTTGTGTTTCTCAGATCAAGCTTTGCGTAAACGTTCTATCCGCTAGACAGCAAGGCAAAAACAGGTGGGGTGAGCTGTTTTGAAGCAGATGTTTTTGTGGGTGAAGGAAACATCGCGCACGCTTTGAGTGTCCTTGCCGGCCAGTTGCTCGACGCGTATGCAGAAGCTAGTGCCGTTTTTGCAGCACCTTCACTCGTCAGCATCAACGCGGCCCCGGTGGAGCGAGCAAGTGGCAGTAGCAATGGCAAGTGTGTCTTTTTTCTCAACAACACCGAACCTGGTACGTAACTCCGAATATGGAGAATCATTTGAGCATCCAGACCCGGAGCTGTTTGCTGTGGCGGCAAAGCGTAAGATTGATTGGAGTTCCAATCGGATGGGACTGCTTAGCGATAGACAACTGCGGCTATACCTAGATGTTTTGAGGCTGGAGCTCAGTGCCCTGAGGGAAGTGAACTTGGCTACATTGAATATCCTCATCAAAGCCCATGTCGAACAGATACCCTTCCAGGGAATAGACGCGTTCACCGGCAACCAGCTGTTACTAGACGACGACTCTGTATTTCACAAGGTAATCATGCAACGTCGTGGTGGCTATTGTTTTGAGCTCAATAGTGTTTTCGGCAGGCTCTTGCTGACACTGGGCTTTAAGATCCATATGCGGGCAGCCAGGACTAGATGGGGGCGCCCGGTGAACACGCCACTCACGCCGTTGGGACACCTGCTCTTCTGCGTCGACCTTGGCAATGAAGGGCAGCACTTCGCTGACGTGGGTTTTGGTGGCCCCAACCCGTTCAAGGCGGTGCCCGTGGAAGGCGAAGCTGAGCCTTACCGAGTGCAGAGGCTAGACGAAGAGGGAAACACCGAGGTGGCCATCAAGTCGACGGGACGCAAAGGTGCATCGGTGAGTTGGCGTCCGATATACCACGTGTTTCCTCACCCGCAAAAGTGGATTGACTTCATGCCCCAGAACTGGTACGTCACGCTGCACCCGCGATCGCTGTTCCGTCATGTTCTTATGGTGGGGCGTTTCGTGGATAACTCCTGGCTGACGCTCGTGAACGGCCGCTTCTGTCGCCGCTCTATCAGTGGGCAAGTGAAGCAACATCACATCAGCGACGTCGACGAAGTGATCCGCCTTTTCGACACCGAGTTCGCCTTGAAGCTCAATACAGACATGGACCTTCATTTTCTCCGATCAAAATTGATAGCGAGATTTCGAAATTAAACTGCTTTCAGAGCTAGAACTGTTAGTGTGGGTGTTGGCGCTTCTAAACCAGGTGTCGCCCTGAGTAAAGCTAATAAAGCAATCAAAGGATCTAGTTTGTAACGTTAGTTCTACGGAAAAGGTGGTCCGCTGTACAACTAAGATCTACCTCGACTGCACTTTCAGATGGTGGTTATTTCAGCTTCATCAGACGTACTGTGTACCAATTATCTGTTCTTGTTTTATTTTTTGCTATAACAACGGAATTTTGATTTTGAAGGACTTCACGTGCGCTCAAAGAATAAGTGATTAGTAATTCGCATGACACGAGCCAGAGACGCTGAGAACAAGAAACGCTTTTAATCCACCACATCTTATCAAGCATTCCAGACTGGCACAACGCGGCAGAAATACATACAAGAGGAAAAAATCTTGGAATGAACATTGCCCGCGGAATGACGGTCAAAGAAGTATAAGATGGAGAACAATACAGCAGAAAAACAGGTGAACCCACCCGCAACTAGTAATAAAAAGCGAATCAATGACTCGTGTTAGCGGACGCCCCAGACCGCCGTGGTTTATGCTTCGTAGCACTCTAGAAAGAAGCTCTCTTATACCCCTGTCACACAGGCAACCGCGAAGACCGTGTGACTCCCTCGTCCTAACGACAACGAAGATAGAGTCCGTGTCACACGGCCATCCTTACCCGAACGAAGGTAAACGGAGCATTCCGCAAAGGACGTTCAACAATCTCACTTCACAGCGAAACGAGGTACTCTCGTCCCGAGCAGTCTAGAGGTCAGAGAAAAATTTCGAGCACTAAGTGGCCGCAGTGAAAATAATAATACATTTTCGCAATATTAAACGTTCTTTCGTTGTAGTATTCATTCACAACGCGTGTTTGTTCATATACATTTCCGACCGCCAGAGTTCACTTACTCTTAACACCGATGCCCTACACACCGTGCCGCACAAGTCGGGCCGGATGCCGCCATTGAAAAATATTTCGTCCATGCGTGTGGTTGTGGAGGTCGCTGTGTCACTCATGGCTGAAGAACACAAAATGTGCGCTCACGATCTAAGGAAGCACAAGAGCTTTCGTACCGGGCATGTACACAGGCAACAAAACAACTAAAAGCACAATGTGGCCAGCGTCACTAGCAGCATCGCTACAGTTAGCAAATTTGTTTTTGTTGGAAATTATTTGTAATGGTTTGTTAGCCTCGTACCAACTGAATAGTGCTTTTTTGTAAAAACCGCATAACAAGAATTTAAAAAAAACTTAATAGAGATGAAACGGGAATACTTTTCCGAAAGTCAAACAGCACCAGCTGAGCCCCCTTACGGTAACTGTTACAACTTTGTCATTGCCGTGTGACACTGCCACAATTCCTTCTCCGTCGAACCCACTAGGGCAGATTTACGTTAACGGTGTTTAATGGAGTTTATTTGTAGCCGTGTGACAGGGGTATTACTATCGGCTAGCCACTTTCCCGCCCCCTGTGGCTTTTTGAACGCTAACGCTGGTCCCGCGCACGGGCACTGCATGCGTATTCTCCCCGCCCTGCTGACTCGCTCGCTGAATTCCGTGCCAACCAGTTGTGCCCTCGTGATCTCCGACGTAAGCGTAGCTCTGGCCGACTGGCCTGGCCCTACGTCATCTGCTGATGCGGATCTCCGACGACAGTGCAGCTCTGATTTACTGAACTTGCCCTGCGCCATCTTCTGACGCTGTCAAGAGCTCTCGCAAGTGGTGCCCCATCCTCGGGCTCCTGTGACCGTGTTTCCATCTTTCCTATCTCTCCTATGCCTCATATGTCCTCACTCGCGGTCAAGTCGCATCTCTCTCCTACCTCAATCCACTCTTTTTAATCCCTCCTCGCCCCATCCCTTGTGAGCTACTGTTGAGGTGTCGCACCCTGACGCAGACAGTTACGGGGCTCACTTTTCTCTTCTTTACTCTCTTATAACCACTTCCCCGCCCTGCTTCCACCGAGCGTGCTGCAGATAACGGCCCATCTACCCGAGACTCCTCCCTCCCTGACACACAAGAGCGCACACTACAATGAGTGTCATAGTACGCATACTACTAGAAGAAATTCACAAATTTTGTAGACTATCACGCGGCCCCGCGGCCACCGGCGTAATTTTTTCAAAGAGTATCAGAGTAGTGGTGGGGCCGCAGCGCTCAAAGCATGTGCATGTACGTCCTGGCTGGCGTTGGGCCTTACTACAATGTTTCTGTTGTAGTTACTGGGCGCACAAAGGTCACCGCAATTGTTGCACAGTCTGCGTTTGCGAAAAGGGTGCGCTCTTGAGACACAGGCAAGTAACAACTGAGACACTTATTCCCGTTTATCTGTAACTGTAAGTACGTTTCATGCACCATTTGTGCTTGAGAAATGTGGGGCACGTTTCAATCGGCTTGCCATTCGGCACACGACCTTCCGATTTGTTGCTATTGTGTTCATTGCTTTGCCTTTGCGGCAAAGCTGTGACTTTTTTCAAAAATGCGTCGAAACTCTCTGCATTGCGATAACTTAGCGAATCTTCGACGATTAAGTATCCACTTAAAACTGAGGACGTGAAAAGAAATACACATTGGTATAACACTCTCTGGGGTTTCGCGTGACACGCGAGGCACGCCTTTAGTGAGGGGCAGCGTGCATTGACATCGCGCGCCACAACAAGTGATTTGTTTGGCATTCAGGACCTCTTATCCTTCAACAAGGTTTCGTATCCGAGTTTCTGAGGCTTCTAGGTGGCGTGTAATATGTATGCGGCTGCAAAAGTTGTAGAGCCATCGCGATGCGAAAAACAGACAGTGCAGTGCAGGCCGCACATGTGCTCAGCGACTCCGAGTCTCTCAGTGGGTGCCATATTAAGCCACCCTCTGCGCCCTCTTTAGCGACGAAACTTGCGAATAATTAACAGCACACTAAATGGAAAAGTAAACTGAAAAGCAGTCCTTGATTAGTCTACACAGTTCTTTGGGTACCATATTAATTCATAATTATTTGAATGATGTTGTCTACACAGTTTGTCTGGTACGACAACGCATCAGCACTCATCGCATGTTTCAGCTTTGTTAGTTCCACTCAACCATGCTTGCCCACACATGCCACGTCGCATGTCTTGTGACCTGTCTTTGACACACCGGTTGCACGGAATGGAAGATGCACGTAGCGTGTATGGGCGTTCCATGACGGGCGCCAGCCTAGTGCTTTGTCACAAGTTACTTGGCACTGGTTTCGCGGCTGGGTGCTCTGCGAAAGGCAACACTACAACAGCCGGACAAAAAACGCCCCCACCTCCCCGAGGAAAATCGTGAGAAAATGCGAAGGCATTGTGTAGCGTCCATGACGGCGCTTCACAGGGGAGAACCCAGTGTTAGAAGATTAATGTTTTTTTAGGGACGAAGCTCCTTATAGCCGCACCCGTTCATTCGTCGTAGCCGTTGTAGTAGTGTGTTACAAGTATAACATTTTGACGTCCAAGGTGATGCCGGTGAGAGATTTCTTCTGTGCGTTGTTGAACTATAAAAGATAGTGCTCATTGTACATGCCAATGGCTGCTAAGGGCGTGTGAGAGACAGGAGAATCCGGCTTTTAGTTAACGCGCACGCTGCGAATTTTTTATTTTTCAACAACACACACAAGACAAGAAACGGTTCCCACGTTATACTCGCTGGGCGTAACCTCCTAGGTTTTAGAAAGGTTTAGCGAACGCTGGGCAGCAGTGCCATGGATACAGTGAACTAATACATACCATGAACTCTAGGTGGTTAAAGGTGGGAAATAGACACGAAGCGCAAGCCGTAAGAAAGTGTGCGTGGGCCTCCTTTCGTTCAGTACTTGGAATGTCCACTAGATTGCGGTGCTTCTATATGAAGAATATATGATGAAAAGATGCGAGATGGTGGTACTTGGAGTATTCAATAGGTGGACGAACGGACACACAGACAGATCCATGGACGGACGCACGGATGGCTGCACGGATGGATGAACACATGGACGGATGCATGGACGAAAGCAGGGACAAACGCACAAATGAACGTGAGGACGCCCGAACAGATGCACGCAAGGACGGGCGGGTGGACGCATGGGCGGCCGCACAGACGCACGCATGGATGGGCGCAAGCAAAAACGAATGGATGGACGGATGTTTCACCCCACTCACTATCATTCACTCCGTGAATATTCTGTCATTTTTTACACCTTGCAGCCAATAGCACCGTTCACCGCTCGTGACGTTTTCCTGTCGCGATGAAGGCGATATGCGTTTCAACCTATACTAGCTAGCGAACACGGTTAAAAAAATGGCTGCATATCCATGGAGTGAATGATGGAGAGTGGGGCGAAGCCTTCGTCCGTCCATTCGTGCTTGCTTCCGTCCGTCTGTGTGACCGTCCATGCGTACATCTGCCCATTCGTGCGTGCGTCTGTTCCTCCGTCCGTCCCTGCGTTCGTCCATGCATCCGCCCCTGCGTCCGTTCATGCGTCCATCCATGCATCTGTCTGTGTGTCCGTTCGTCCATCTATTCAACTAACCAAGTACCACCACCTCGCCTCTTTTCACCATATATTCCCCATTAGAGTTACTGTATATGCTACCTTTAGGTAGCAGAGTTGCGCTAAGATACGCCATCTTGGGTTCAAATGTTTTGCGGGAAAGCCACTCGCACCCACGTAGGAGCAACGTTCGCGCTTCAGAGTGCTACATTGTTCCTCAACATTGAGAGACTATGGTATTAGCGTGGCTTTATATTTTCGCTATTTTCTATTTTTTAAAGGTGTGCGCGAACCTCGGTTGTTCCGGTCACGTATAGAAGCTTTGATTTGATGCTTACGTTCTTGGTATGTAATAATAAAACGTGCACCGGCCTATTGAACCAGTAACAAGATTGGTTTATACTAGCGTTTTACTCATGGTTGGTTACACTAGCTTCGTCTTCTTTTCCGCTGTTTTTCAAAGTCGCAAATATGAAATTATTTTTGCACTTTTGATCGCGATCGAAGCAG